CCCCAAAACCCCAAAACCCCAAAACCCCAAAACCCCGTCGTTACGTAAATAGGTGGCAAATTTTAAATTATTAATTAATAAATGCTATTCTTAAGCCACTTAAAAGCACTCCTATGGAAAAATTGGCTGCTATGGAGACGTAAGTTCATTGGCAGCATCTGTGAACTAATCTTCCCCCTCATTGTTGTTGGAATCACTGTGGGAATCAGATCCACATCAGACACTATTGTACAAGAAGGCGGTCCCTTCATTGACGAAGGGCATCTATTTACTGCACCTGGAGATGACAACCAGTTTTATCAAGATCTCTCAGCTCTTACAGAGAATGAGCCCTTCTTAATGGAGACTCTTGGAGGGAACTATTGGACTGTTATTGGAGAAGATAGAGCTGAAGTAGAAGCCATGAAAGAAGCATTACAGCCGTTTGTAGAACTCTTTCAAACACAATCTCAAAGACAGCTCACTTTCTTAGATGATATGCTGACTCAAGATGACTTATTTGACTTTGTCAAGAATCCAAGCTATGGGAAAGATTCAGAATTTGACACACTTTTCTTTGCTGTTGGGCTACCCACAGATCCAGAGGACAATCCTCATGAATTCACTATTTTTCAACCTGATGAAGGTCCAATGTTAATCCCTTCAATGAACTGGGATAGGATCTTCTCGATCCCAGATTTCGATAGCTACTATCTGTACTCAAGAAATGGATTTGCTGGTTTACAAAGTTTTATTGCAAACTATATTCTCAGAAAAGAAACTGGATTAGAAGAAGCTTCAGTAGATACTTATATTGCACTTGGATACCTCCCAAGATTCTTGCAGGATAATTACCTTAAGGAAGATGGAAGAGCATCATTCCCTGTTTTCATCTTGCTCATATTCATCATCCCCTTGTTCAGGCTGGTGAACTCTTTAACTGGAGAGAAATCCTCACGTGCTAGAGAAGGTATGAAGATTATGGGACTTAATGACACTCCATACTGGGTATCTTGGTTCATATACTATTCAGGAATTTGATTGGTCATATCGATAATTTCCGGATTAATGCTCACCTTCCTCATCTTTGAAAACTCCTCTGCGTTCTTTATAATTCTCTGGTTGTTCTTGTACGGCATGACCTTCTTCTCATTTGGTGTTCTGGTTGCTTCTATAATGCACAAACCTATTAATGCATGCATATTTGTGACACTTCTCCATTTCATACCATATTTTATATTCATACCTATTAAAGAGCCAGAAGTATCAGATGGTGTAAGGTTGGGACTATCAATAATACCAACTGTTGCTATGGCTATCTCATCACAGACTATTTTTGACCTTGAGCAATCAATTGCAGGACTTACTGGGTCAACCTTGTTCTCATCTGTGTCTAAATTCCCAGTTGGTATTGCAATTGTTTCCTTCTTGATCAATATCTTTGGACAATTCTTACTTGGATTGTACCTCGATAATGTGCTCCCAAAGCAGTTTGGAAAAAGACAACACCCCTGCTTCATGTTCAAAAAGTCCTATTGGTTTGGAGCTCCTGTAGCTGCTGAAAGTGGGACAAACCAAAGATTACTAGATGAAGAAGATCCAGAACAGAATAATGATTCTGAGAATTTTGAAGTAGCCCCTCCGAACGTGAGACAGCTTGAAAAATCAGGAGAGTGTATGAAAGTTAGAAACCTTCGCAAAGTCTATGGAGACGGCAAAGTTGCTATTGATGACTTGTCTCTGACCATGTACAAAGACCAGATCTTCGCACTTTTGGGTCATAACGGAGCTGGCAAAACCACGACGTTTTCAATTCTGATGGGTCTGTATCAGCCGTCTGGCGGATCAGCTTCGGTGTTTAACATCAACATGGTCGACCAGTCAGACCAAGTGAGGAAGAACTTGGGAGTGTGTCCACAGTTCGATATTTTGTTTGACACGCTGACCCCTGAAGAGCACCTGAGGCTTTACTGAATGTTTAAAGGAGTGCCTTCTGAAGAAATTGATAATCAGATTGAAAAGACTCTCAAAGATGTTGATCTCTTATCAAAGAGGAAATCATTTGCTAAAAATCTATCAGGAGGACAGAAGAGAAAGCTGTCTGTAGGCATCGCAATGATCGGAGGATCTAAACTGATTCTTCTTGATGAGCCCACAAGTGGAATGGACTTGACTGCTAGAAGAAAGATATGGGATATGCTGAAGCAAAATAAGAAAGACAGGATTATCTTATTGACCACTCATTTCATGGATGAAGCTGATATCTTGGGTGACCGTATTGCAATCATGACCTCTGGTAAAGTCAAATGCTGTGGAGGGTCTCTGTTTCTTAAGAAGAAGTTTGGAGTTGGATACAACCTCGTGATTGCCAAAGAAACAAAGCTTCCTAACCCAGACATTGAAAAGTTTGTGTTCAGTAGAATAGAAAACTGCATTAAGCTTTCAGAAGTGTCTTCAGAAGTCACTTTTCAGATGCCAATGACAGAATCTCACAAATTCGAGAGCTTCTTCACAGACCTTGACAACAGTCTGGAAGATTTGAAAATAAAGAGCTATGGAGTTGGAGTGACCACTCTCGAAGAAGTCTTCTTGAAAGTTGGTTATCAAAAAGGAGAAGAAATTGAAGAAATGGAGTATTCTAAACATGAAGAAGCAGAGGGACATCAAACGAAGAGTCAGCTAAACTACTCAGGCAACAGTGATGTAGGAGGATATTCTGTTGCAGAGGATCATGAGAAGAACGTCTTCTGGTTACATTATTATGCTCTATGTGTAAAAAATTTCTTGGTTCCTTACAGGCACCTGAAATCTTTCCTGATTGAGGTTTTTGTGCCAATAATATTCATACTTATTGGCCTTTTTCTCTCAAATCTGAAATTTTTCAAGGATGCTCAACCATATTACATTGACATGAGTGCTTTACCATCAGGCAACAAGCTTTTCTTATCCACCCTACAGCCTAATCTTCCTGAGTTTCAGAAATATGCTGATGCCATTGACCAAGAAATCTTCAACCCTGAAGGCATCGACTTTCCTCAAGATGGGGAAACTCTTTTAGAAAACTTCTTAGAGTTTGAACAAAATATGTTCCACGAAATCGGAGGTTATGACAATCGAGTGAGGAATTCAGGCAACCAATTTGTTCACAATATTGATCTTGACGAGAAGAGGTGTGGAGTTGTGGCTACAGTTAACGCATTTGGAAGAGACACTGTCCCAATTCATATGAACAAAATGCTACAAACCTGAATGAGAGTCTTACTTGATCAGCCTAACTTTGAACTGAGATTTAGAAGCCATCCACTTCCTTTAACTAACGAATCACTTGCTAGGGCTAAAAATATGGGAGGTTCAATCATCTCACTTCTATTTGCAATAGCTTTTGCAGTTGTCCCAACAGGAATTGCAGCAACTCTAGTTAAGGAAAGAGAATCTAATGTAAAACACCAGCAGATGATATCTGGAGCCTCTAAACTTTCATATTGGCTGAGCACTTATACAATTGATTTGATCCGTGGATATTTTCCGATTACATTCGGTATTATTATGATATTTGCGTTTGATGTAGATTTACCTTTCGTATGGGTTCATTTCATACTATTCGGATTGGTCATTCACCCATTTACCTATGCTACCACCTTCTGGTTTAAGAAACACGGCGTTGCTCAACTTATGACTATCATCATCAACATTGGCTTAGGAGCTTTGATCCCTATAGCAATTTTAATATTGCAGACTATTGAGAGCACTCAGAATATAGCGAATACTCTAAGATGGATCCCAAGGATCTTCCCTATCTTCTCAATGATCAATGGTATTGTACAGATATCTATTAGAAATCTAATTGGGCAGCAGAAAGGAGGCAAAGAAATGCCTCATCCTCTCGACATGAGCATCTCAGGAGGAGATGCTCTCTTTTTAGGAATAGGATTCTTCTTCTGGTGGGGAGTCACACTCTTTTCAGAAGGAGGGATATTTACAAAAGTCTTCCAAAGTCTCAAATGCAAAAGAGTTGTTGAGGACTTCTCAAGAAGAACAGAAAATGTGAAAACTGATTCAGATGTCCTTAAAGAAGAGCTTAGATGTGAGAAACTTGACCCGAAAGAGTGCTCTGTGCTTGTCAATGGACTCAGGAAAGGATTTACTGTTAATGGAGAACCATTTGTTGCTGTTAAAAATATTTCTTTTGGGCTTGAAAATGGTGAGTGATTTGCTTTACTAGGAGTCAATGGAGCAGGCAAGAGTACTACTTTTAAAAGCATGAGCGGAGATATTACACCAAGCGATGGGAAAATTTATATTGATGGGTATGATATCTCCTCCATAAATGAATTTTCAGAAGCTCGGAAACTTATTGGCTATTGCCCTCAAGTCGATGCCTTATTCGATGGCTTGACTGTCTTCGAGCATTTAGTGTTCTACTCAAGAATCAAAGGCATTCTTGCTCACAAACGGGACTCACTTATCCAGAAAGTTATGAACGAACTCGACCTGGAATCTTTCAAACATGTGAGGTGTGAGAAATTATCTGGAGGAAACAAGAGAAAACTCTCAGTTGCCATGGCAATGATTGGCAACCCTCCAATCATTTTCCTTGATGAGCCTTCGACTGGAATGGATCCCAGAGCGAAGAGGTTCATGTGGACAATTATCTCGAGAATCTCGACGCTGAACAAGAAGAGCACGATTATCCTGACAACTCACTCGATGGAAGAGGCAGAGGCCTTATGCACAAAGATGGGCATCATGGTTAGAGGCAGGTTCAAGTGCTTTGGATCGTCTCAAGAAATCAAAGACAAGTTCGGTACAGGCTACGAGATCGAAGTCAAGGTGAAATGGCCAACAGACGAAGAAGCTCTCAACTATATTAAAGATAAAGGACTTGATTCTGAAAAATACGTAACTTTGCAGGAATTAGAAGAAACTATGAATACTCTTGAGAAGCAAAAACTTCTTGCGATACCTCAATTTTCGGATCTAAAGAGCGATGTTGAAAAAGATGGATCAATCTCTATGATATCCCTCTGCCAATGGGCACTATTAGAAGAGTCTGGATGTCTAATTAAAGATGAACTTGAGAAGAGCAATACTGAATGCAAAATTCTAGAACACCACAACAATTTCTATAAATTCAGACTAGAAAGGGGATTAAAGAGTCTAGGCTTTTACTTTGGATTCATGGAAAAATTGAAGCAGAAGGTCAATTTCTCAGAATATGGAGTCAGTCAGAGCACTCTCGAACAAATTTTCAACACTTTTGCTAGGGAAGATGAAGATTAGAAAGGATATTTGACAATCTAAGATCCAAGGAAATTTATCAAAATTCTTAAACTTCTGAGCTAATTTATAAATTTTGTTCTTAAATTTTTGATAAAAATGTACGTAATTGTGTCAGCTTTTTTTGAAGATTTTGGGGTTTTGGGGTTTTGGGGTTTTGGGGA